TGTTATGTGCATAAAACTTGGATGTGTCTTTGATTTGCCTACCTTTGTCAAACCATCTTTTAAATTACCATCAACTAATAGAGAAATCAATGTAATATTTGATGCCTGTCACATGTTGAAACTTGTCCGTAACACATGGGCTGATAAAAAAATTTTAGAATCAAATGGTGGTTTAATTAGATGGGAATACATATGCAAATTACATTCTGCACAGTACACGACTGGCTTCAAATTGGCTAACAAATTAACTGACCAACATGTTAATTATCATAATCAGAAAATGAAGGTACCATTTAGTATAATTCTTCCTTTCTGTACATATTCAACAATATCTTTTGAGTATGTTCATGTATTAAAAAAATAAATCACCATACAAATAGATTTTATAATTATAAAAATGACTTACATAATTTCAAGTTAAATTAGTGGCTCACATATTGAGTAATTCGGTGGCCAAAGCCTTAAGATGTTCAAGTAACTGTGAAGAATTTAGAGATTGTAGAGCAACTGTACAATTCCTGGAAAAAATGAATATATTGTTTGATATAATGAATAGTAAGAACATTTACAGTAAATATTTCAGACATGGTATATCAATGACATCATTTAATGACATAGCATCAAACCTAATGTCACTGAAAGAGTATTTGTTATCACTAAAAACTGTCAATGGAAAATTTATATATCAAACCAATAGGTAAACATATATCTTACAGTGTTTGATGAAAATGTACTAACCAATTGTTATATTTTTAAAACTCAAGGAATACATGTGTTCTTGGAATGGTTGTCAACATAGAAACCATAATAAATTTAGCCACATCCTTGCTTCAAACACAAAAATATGTTCTGGCATACAAATTCAGCCAAGACCATCTTGAGTTATTTTTTAATTTCATTCGAAGTGTAGGTTAGAAAATGTTCAAAAGTGGTTATTTAACAAAAGTGACTTCAATTTTATATATTTAAATTTCATGTATTTAGGGAGAAGCAATGATAATCCAAATGTCCAGCAACTGCATTCTATTTTCAAAAAAGTGTACTATAGATGTGGTATTGTCCCTGGAAAAACAGGTTATTCAAATATGTTCTATTTATACAGTTGCTTCAAATGAGGCTATACATATGTTTTATAATTTTTTAAGGGAATGTACAGGAACAAATGATTGTTGAATCAGAATTTAAAGTTCCAGAGGATCAATTTAAAGATATTTTTGAAGAGACGTATTTAGATTCACAAATAATGACATCTAATACCATGTCCACTGTCATTGAAAATCCATCTAACACCATGTCCACTATCATCGACAGTGCAGTAGCGTATATTGCTGGATGGGTTGTTAGAAAAGTTGCCAAAACAATCGATTGTAACAAGTGTAGATTTACACTTATTGATATAAAAAGACAAGCTACCATGTTACACCAACAGCTTCTGATACTAAAAGACAATGGTGTTCTAGTTTTCCCATCCTGTGGTGTTGTTCAGGTCAGAAAATAATTTTTTTCCATGTTTATTTTTATTTGCATGCTGGAAAAATATTGATCTTTAATTTCTTCATTTTTATATATTGCCTAATATATATTTTTTGACTAATTCATATTTGTCAATCAGATTTGCCGTGTCACCGAAAGACATTTGAAAATGGTGACAGACTGGTCTAAAATGAATAGAACAATTGTTGTATCAAGTGTTTTGAGTGAGTTGGCAAATAAAGATCTATTAAACCTTAAAGATCATATCATTGAAAGTGCAGATAATATAAACAATCATTTTTTTTCTTTATTGAGATTAATAACAAAAACATATATAGATGTTCGCTCATTTCATTTGGCCAAAAACAATAGTCAGTTGAAAATTCGTTCAAAATATCATAAACTAATTCACTTTAAGGGCCAGTGAAATTTTTTATTTATACTTACAGAGAATGATTTATTTATTTTTTATTTTAATTTCTATTAAACATCTGGTTTTTGTGACTTTTTTGCATTTCTAAATCTCTCTTTTTTATTATTTTTTTGTTAATTTTTAAACATTTAAATATTTCTTAATTGAAATCTGTGATTATTGTTATTTATTTTAAAACGCTTTTACTGAGAGTCATATTATTATATTGGTACATCTAGTCAACTTCATCTATTAATTGAACATTTTTCACAGCAACATTAAACAATTTCCAGCATTTCTTGTCATTTTTTAATCTTAATTTCTTTTCTATTTAACCCCTTTTTTAAAAACATAAATAGGTATGGGCATTTATTAATTTATAATTTATCAGCTATTATACAAAAGTTTCAATGCTTTCAGATAAATGTAAGACGTTATTTTTATTTTTAGGACCATTTAGATATTGATAAGTTTAAATCTAAGTATTGTCAAAAGAATATGATGTATTATGTATTTTACAAATTTTTTATCTGCAAATTTAACAAACATTTATTTCATTAAAGATGTAAATATTTTTGTAAAATGTTTTGAAAATAATTTTCTCAATAATAATTATTTTTTATTACGCTGAACTTCACTGCACCCCAACAGTATTTGAGCATAATAAATTAGCAATAATAATTTTATACATATACATATTTTTTATATTATGAAATATAATAATGTTTAATTATACTAAATAGTTGATTGATTTTAATTAAATTCCATGTCAATCAGTTTCAACTAAGTTCATTATATTAATAGTATTTGATGCAGGGTCAGTAATTTTTTTGTTTTTGCCATTTACGTTTTTTAAAATTTGTCTTCATATATCACTTAGTCCATTTATTTTCTTTTTTTCAATGAACAACTTAACAATTTATTGGAACATATTGTGCCTTGATTTTTAGCACCACTACATGTACATATAAAATAACGGTTAGCCTTTAGCTTCTAGCATCATCCAAAAGATGTTTCATTTTAGAAAAATTGAACAAAATGTATAAATGTCAATATTAAAATAATTATGAACATCCATTTATTTGCCAAAATCCTGAATTATAATGACTAATTTGTCATTAAATTCTGAATTAAACCTTTATTTTATAACATTTGTTCAGATTTTAAAAAAATTTATAATTTGATGACATTGAAGATAACTGCACTTGTTATTAATCCAGGTGGATGAATGTATGTATCAAAGTGTATGTGTAGTAGATTCATCCAAAAGATGTTTTATTTCCAGGACAATTGAGCAAAATGTATGAATGTCAAATATTGAAATAAATATGAACATCCTTACATTTTGCCATAAATTTTCCGGAATCAAAATCTAAAATCATTTTATTTTCAACAAACAACCTTTATTTGATAACTAAGTCGGTAGAGACGAAAAAAGCGACTTATTTAAATGTTATGATATAAAAAAACGAAAACTTCGTGTAGGCGATTAAATTTAAATTTTAAAACAGTAAAACGAAATGTCAACTACAATGAAGAAATGTTTACGCTCAAATTATGTTCTCTATTCCATAGAACTAAAAAAAATTATTAGCCGGGAATTAATTCTTGTGCCATATCCACTATATCCAAGATTATACGTGAAAAAGTAGAAGACTCTGTTTCTAGAAATAATATAGTATTGAATCAACACAATGGTTTTGTTAAAGGAAAGTCATGTACAACAAGTCTTTTTGAAACTCGATTTTATTTCTTACAATTTGAATAATTCTATTCCGGTAGATGTGGTCCTCCTCGATTTTGCCAAGGCATTCGATACTGTTTCTCACAGAAGATTATTGGCTAAATTGAATGTATATGGAATAAGCGGTTTGGTATATAATTAGAATGGCTCATTTCTTAAAAACAGAAAACAAAGAGTTGTTCTGGGTGAAACTGTTTCGGATTGGGTTGAAATTTTTAGGGTGTTCCTCAGGGTTCTGTTATTGGTCCTTTGCTGTTCAGTTTATATATTAACGACCTGCCAACTAATCTAAAACTTACAACAAAGTTGTTTGCAAATGATACAAAAATCATGAGTTCAGTTTCATCAAACAAGGAAGTTGTTGAACTCCAATCTGATCTGGATACAGCATTCAAATGGACCCAAGACTGGCTTTTGCGATTGTGTTGTAATGCATTACGGATCAGGTAATAATAAATGTCCTCTGTATATTAATGGAAAACGCCTTGTTGAGTCTGAATATGAGAGAGACCTTGGAGTGATTTTTTCAACTAATCTTAAATGGAAGAATTAAGTCATAACGGTATCTAACAAAGCGAATCGGATGCTTGGTCGAGTGAGGAAATCTTTTGGAAGATTTGATAATAAATTGCTCCGTAATTTATACATAACTTTTATTCGACCACTTTTGGTGTTTGCGGTGTCAGTTTGGTCCCCAGATTTGAAGGGTGATATTGAAGTGATTGAAAGAGTCCAGCACAAAGTAACAAAATTAGTTCCTTCTATAAAAAATTTTGCTTACATCGATCGTCTCAGAGAATTGGATCTAACAACATTGGTAGAAAGGAGAAGAAGAGGAGATTTAATTCAGATATTCAAAAGCAAGCACAAAATGGACAGAATTAATTTAATAAATCAATTTAATAATGTTGTAACTAGAACGCGAGGTCACAGTATGAAATATTACAAAGAAATAACAAGACATAGAAGCAGAGAAAATTAACTATTCAATAGAACAGCAAATATCTGGAATCCATTGCCAAATGAACTCGTCGATGCGCAAACATCAAATAGTTTTAAAGCAGGTATTGATTGTTGGATGAACAACAAACAATCAACGATGTTATTTATTTACTTAATTATTTAGTCAGGATTTGAAAATTACGACCAAAATTTGTGGTTGGGCTTGATCAACAAAATGCACCAGTTAACGACATCGACCGATTACAGATTGAGATTTGAGATTTGAAAGTTTGATGAATGGTGTTTTAGTCTGCGATGAATATGTCTTTTTGGGGTTCGTTTTTTCAACTAATTCATCGAATCACACATTTTTTTCATCGTTTTATCTCAAACAACGTAACTTTTGAAAAAAATTGACTGATAAAATATTATCACCAAATTTCTTCACCATGTTGATAATATTTTTATCAATAATTCTAGTTCTGTTTTGAAATATATAATGTTAATTAGCTTATAAGAGTTCTCCACGTGACTGTAGCAGTTCAAATGTTACTAAGTGTTTTCTTAGATTACATAGCAGTTCAATATTTTTTCAAAATATTGAATTTCTTTGAAGGCTGTCGCAGATGCAACCAACACATTCTCAATTTGCCACACTATCATAAACTCCATGAAACTGAAATTTTCACAACTTCATCAAAACTATATAGAAAACGCTTCTATTTTCAATATTTATCGAACATAAAATGTTTCAACCAACATTCCCTTTTATCTAGACTCAGTAACACCGCAAATTCACGTAATGTAAATAATTGAAAACCATTCATATGTTTCAGATTAATTCAGAAGTGAAGAAATATTCTCTCAACGTTTCCGGATACAGCAGAGATGGCAGCGATATCCATATTGGCACCATAATGAGATGAAATTTTTAACTCCTCAATATAGTTGCAGTGCAATATTTATCAGGAAACTAGTTCAGTAATGATTATTATCAAAATGTAAATGGTGAGTATGGCTCAAACCTACAATACTACTACAAAAATTCTTTCATGTCAATCACACTCTGCAGAATGATGATGAAACTCAACGCATGATTACGTTGATCTTTTAAGATTTTCATTCTTGAAATTTCTTATACGTTACAAGCATTTAAAACTTTTATTAAAAATTGGGCATTTATTATTTTAACTAAAAATTTGTAAATTCATATTTTTGGCAAAATAGAGATCCGTCTGGTTTTTTCTACTCAGAAGTTGTTTATAGTTTATAAAGAGGCATGTCATGATTTTTTATTTAGAAATTTTATTTATCCTTATTAATGCTGAACTTTACCAAGAACACAGTTTTTGTTTAGTTTCATTTGTTTTTTATTGATAATTCTTTAACTGCTGCAGGGAAAAACTCAGAACAGATCTCTGATTTTGCCCATATTTTTGCTTTATGCGGTAGAGTAGATTCTCTAGCAAAGCAAATTGTTATAATAATATAATAGGCAGCATTAATGGATTACAGTTATTTGAAAAAGTTGCTTCAGGTTAAGTGAACGAACGTTTTGGGTACATTCATAAGAACTTCGAGAATCCTTTTACTTTACATTTACACGGCTTTTTTTATAAGTTAAAACAAAATATTAAATATGCTTTTGATTCAATTTACGGATAACTTTTTGTATAAAAATACTTAACATGCCAAAAAAATTTTTAAATTACTTCAGAAACAAGTACCGTACCAAATTTGGTACCAAACACACCCGAACACGTTTTCAGTGTGCTTTAGAGTCTCTCAACCATTATTTTCCATGAACTCATCAAATTTTACAATTTTTACATTTTTATAGTTTATTAATGAATATTTATTTTTTAACAATTTCATTTATTTTGATTATTTTTTAATTGATTACTTTAGCATGATATTTATGCATACCTAGTAACTTTTTTCTGATATACGAGCTCCGAGTTGATTTGAGATCGTCGCGTTTGAAAGGCGTCCCTTTGGTATCAGTTCGCAACGCGGAATTTTTGCTAAATAATTAATTGAGTTTTTAAGTTTAAAAATTACTATTATAGTTAAAACAAATAACTTATATATGTGATAATTATTATAAAAAAATTTCAGGGCCAGGCGTTCCCGCACCCACCAGATCCGCCACTGCGCGGGTGCGTTTAAAGGTCAGTGTAGATATTCTAAGTATGTAATGGCAGAACAATAATGATATATATATATATTAAAAATGAAAGATGATGTGCCTTCTTTATTATCTATTTTATCTTTGGTTACAGCATTTAAATTCATGTTTCCATGGTAATTATTTTGTTTTGCCAATAAGTAATGTAATCAGTTAATAATCTCCTTGTATGAAATTTGGGTTAGGTATTTTCAGAAGTTTAATTAAAATTAATTAATTATTTTTTAACAGTAAAAAAATCTTGCATAACATTTTCATTTAAAGTATATTTTTGTTGAGTTGTTAAATCTATTAAAAAATCTTCTAGCTTCTAAGTAACTTTTGTATATTTCAAATTTTATTACATAACTCCAAGTGTAAGTTCTAAGGATTACTGGCATTGAATTACATATAGGAAGTGAAATTAAGCGTTTGATCTAAACGTTGACTCGTAAACTATTAGTCGCTACACTGGTTCAATTATTTAATCAATTATTTTAGAGACGCGAAACGTCTATGTTTTCATGCTTCTAATAATAGATAGAGAGATACAATAGGGCAATTTCAGTTTAAAATTTCATGTTTACCGGTTTTAAACTTTTGCTACACTATCTCGCAATTTCTTCATTAATATTAACTCCATTAACTCGCTAACAATTTGTGTCCTCCGATCAAGCTAACAACAGTTTTCCACTCGTAAAGTTAAAAACAATTGAAACATATCTTCCAAATTTTTGATTATATAAAATTTTATAAATATTTGCTTTTTGTTTTTTTTTATTTTTATAAAATTGAAGAGGTATTTTGAGGAGATTCAATCTTTTTGTAACAAGTAGGAGATGTTAAAGTAAGATTGCGAACCAAATCTATCGATAAATCACTGTTTTTTAAACGCTATTTTAATGATGATTCACAACGCTCCTCACCTCATTATATGATACTACTACAAATGAGTAGGTCTTATGATCAGATCATTTTGAACAGAGGATTAACCAGGGAAGATAGCTCGAAAGAAAACCAACAAAAACAGTATGAACCACATAAATAAATGCATATAGAAGAAAAACAGACTTGACGTTAGAGTGTTTAAAAAATTAGGAAAAGTGAGAAAGAAAAAATAATTAATCGTTTTCTTCTGTAAAAATTTTAGATTACTTCGGTGTAAAAATTATTGTATGTATGAAAAATAAATTTTTTCTAAAAAATGAATAAATATAAAAAAGACTAAATTGTTTATAAATTTACAGAGTTTATTTGAATCATACAATTTGAAAACAATTATTTTAATAATTCTTAAAGACATGGCTGTAAACAAATCTCTTCATTGTAAACCATTATGGAAAGAATGGGATCACAAGGCTAACAAACAAGGTTTACTTCATACAGTATTCTTTTCAAACGGAGATGAATACACTGGAGAATGGTTGAATAACAAAAAACATGGTTTATATTTTTTTAATAAGTTATCGATGAAAGAGATATTGATAAAATCATGTTAATACGTAAACAAACTTTTTTATGATTTTTATTTTATTTTCTTCATCCCTTGAGTCTCATGAGTCTGTTTGCTTATTCCATTTTCACGTGCTACAGGCAGAAACTTTCAACTCCCAACACTAATCCAATTCATTTCTATCTACATCACTTCTTTCATCTATGTTTACATTTATTTACTCACAAGCACACTTATATACCTCATCGGTTTTTCATCCTTTTTATCATTCGCCGTCAATACCATCATGGATCATTCGTTATTCCACCAAGCCAAAGTGTTTTACTCAAAAAAAATGCAAAACAAATTTATCTATTCTATTTGATGGTCTATTTTGAGTCCTGGTGTATGCTTGTAACCAGTGGTGTCACAAACGTTGTTCAAAAATAATTGGTAATTTATCTAAAGTGTCCAATTTTGTTTGTCCTGTTAGCATCAATCAACAACAACAAATTCGAAATAGCAATGGTATTGAAGCCATTAAGGTGGAGAAAGTCACATCGCTTAAATATCTAGGGGATGTTCTGGATTGTACTGGAACAGCTGAAGCTGCCGTTCGATCACGCATACGTGCAGCCTGGAATAAATGGCATCTCCTTGCCTCTTTATTGATCCATCCCACTATCACTACGATCAAGACTTTATAAATCTATGATACGTCAGGTCTTGTTATATGGTGCATAAACATGGCCAATGACAACCAAACTGGAACAACAACTTCACCGAACCGATAGAAAATGTTCCGATGGATGCAACGAATTAGTCTGAAACCACATCAAATCTACCAAAATCCTGCGTCGTGCTGATTTAGATGATATAAAAGACGAATGCCGGCAATACCGTCTGAGGTGGTTTGGTCAGGTCAAACGAAGTGGAAACAGTGCAATAACTTCTCTTGCAAATGTTGAAGTACTTGGCACACGTCCCAAAGGCCGTCCAAAGAAGTCCTGGTCGCAAACAATCGAGCAAGACATGATGCAGAAACATTACCAATGACAACCAAACTGGAACAACAACTTCACCGAACTGATATGAAAATGCTCCGATGGATGCAACGGATTAGTCTGAAACCACATCAAATCTACCAAAATCCTGCGTCGCGCTGGCTTAGATGATATAAAGGACGAATGCCGGCAAAGAAAACAACGTCCTACCTCGTGAGAACTGGGTCTCTGGACGCTAAACGATGATTGATTGATTGTATGCTTCATTTTCTAATATTTGTATGCTTCATTTTTATTTAATTTGAAATCAAATGTTATCTTTGGATACATTTTTAGAGTGATTGCACTAATTTGCATCAAAAAGTTTTTGCACAAAAATTCTGAGTATAACTGTCTACTGAATGGTGCAAGTTAGGATGGAATCATGAATGAATATCACCTTTGAGAAACACGTTTATTAAAAAAACAAACAAAAATTTGTCATCGCTTTATTAGAATTATTGTATATATTATATAATAAATTAAATATGCCTACCTTGAATGTTTTTCGTTAAAATTGTTTTTTGGAAGGAAAAGGAACGTATTTGTGGAATAACAAGTCGGTTTATAACGGAGATTGGAAAAACGACATGAGGAATGGATTTGGAACATTATGCGTTATGAATAGTGATAACCAGAGTATCATGAAACAATACTATGGTGGTTGGAAGGATAATTTAAAGCATGTAAGACTGATTTTATAAGTTATTTCACATACGAAAAATTTATTGCAATAGCGATCGATGTATCAAAATTGTATCTGCTTTAAAAGATTTATTCAATTATCACAACAGCGTAACTAAAATGCTTTGAAAAGTTAATATTATTTTACTCAACTAACATTTCTGTGCTGAATATTTATATTAAATGCAGTAAACCAAATTTTAAAAAATTGTAAAACAATAATGGAGAAACTAGAACAATTATTATCATTTAAAATTTATACAAAATATATCACAAAAAAATCTCTTGAAGTTATTTTCTTTGACTACGCTCCTGGTTAAAAACAGTACATGTATTTCAATTTGCTAAACTGTGAATTTTCCACACTGAATTTTAAACTTTTACATCTTAATTGTGGATTTACAAATTTTGCAGGGTTTTGGGACATATATTTTTAATGATAATGTGATGTACGAAGGAGACTGGTGCCACGATAAAAGGCACGGATGGGGTAGGATGATATTTGAAAATTCATCAATATATGAAGGAGAATGGGCCAACGATCAGCGTAATGGTCAAGGAATTCTTAAGTATAGTATGAATCTTTTCATCTAACTAAATCTGTATTCACACATTATTATAGTGGCACAAAATTTTGTTGAGGGTATTGTTTTTCTTTTATAAAACCTTGATCACCAATTTTTTTTCACTTTATAGTCATTGATAACAAATTTGTGTTCATTTCATTATTATTTCTGGTGTAGAAAGCAACTGTTTCAACTTTACTGTTGTAGGTTGATGCAAGAAAAATTAAAAAAATAAATTTACACAAGTTAACAAATGCCTTTAAACTGCGCCTCTGATGTTACAGCCCATACCCAAAACTTTTTGGGAACATTGTTACTAATATTTATTGGCAGAAAACCAAAACATGTATGAAGGAAATTGGTCAAGCGATATGAAAAACGGTGCTGGCAAATTCTTTTATTTTGATAAAAAGCAGTTGTACGATGGTATTTGGATAAATGACGTAGCGAAGTGTGGTGAAATTCAACCTATAACTGAAACCTCGTCAGTTCATGACGCTAAAGATATATTTCCCAAGGTACATATTGTAACTATCATTGTCTTACATAAATCATTACAAGAAAATCACGTTTTTCCTCTTTAAAATTACTGTGCATTATATGAATGAAAATAATAGCAAAACTGCATTTGCAGAAATTATAAATTTAAAATAAAATTAATGAAGCAAAAAAATGTTTAATGTTGGTTGAACACCATCAACATGTTAACTTAGATGGTAAAAACGTGACAAAATTTCAGCTTTGAACTGCTTATGCGCATTCTCAGCCGAAATGTGTTGTTGCCACAAAACGATGTTTAGCTTATTAAAGGTGAAATAATAAAATAACTTTTTTAAAGCTTTTGAAGCAAGTCAAAGAGGGTTAGTCAATTAAAAAACCTGACGCTTTAAAAAAGAGAAAACATCAAAAAATTTCTGACACTTTTTAACAGGAAAGGTTTGAATAATAGTTAACGTAAACAAATTTATAACAATTATTTTTAATGAAATCCAAACTACGCTCATACGAAATCACCGACATAAAACTTTTTTATATCATTGAGCTTTTTAATTATTTCACGCATTAAATACGCCTCCCCACCATGGCCGGGATTCAGCGTAACAGCAACAATCCTTGATTAACAAACTTATAAAACTTAATTTTTAACCATCTTCAAATCCACCAATCGACAATCTACTAATTTCGACACATTAGACTCCCACTTATTTTTGAAAATAGAATCAAATCACAATTACGTCAGTCACCACCTATCAAAACCTCATCACATTATTTACCTCAACGTTAACACAACTGACTCCTTCTGGTCAGACGAGGCGTTCTCCAGGGCTCTTCAACCTGTGCTTTGACCCCATAATGAAGATACTTGAAAAGTCTGAGTATCAACAATTTGGCCATATATGGGGCTCCACAGCCAACTTTATAGCAAGAGCATGGCTCCAATTTGCCGATGACACATCAGTCATTCATTGCCAACAACATGAAAAGCGCTCAGAAATTAATTGAAATAAACCAGGCTTGGTGTAACGCAACCAGTATGCGGCTATGGCTTGACAAGTAGGCAACATTTGGCATGAAAAAAAATGTATCTGCCAGTTCCTTCTGAAGTTGACCATCGACGACAAACCAAATCCTCAAATCGAGCTTTTTGTATATTTGGGCAAAACCTATGATTTTGAAGGCAACAACACTGAAGCCAAAAAATTGCTAACTAGTAAACTGAAAAATTTGTTATCAGTAATTAGTGAACTAGAACCGTTAGCACGGTGGAAACTTTAAATCTTGAGAAGATATATTCCATCCCAGTTGGCAGCTTCGAACTTACGACATTTCGTTCATCTGGATAGATAATTGTTTTGACCCCTTAGTGATTGTAGCTTTTAGAACATGGTTGTCATTGTCAAGGCCATAAAGAATGCCACGCTTCAAGGGGAAAGGGGGTCCAAATATTTGTGACACTTTGTGACGAAGGGGAGGGGGAGGGGTAAACGCAAGTATGACGTCCATTTTTTTAAATAAACAAAACAATAAATGAATATTAAAGTTTTTTAGCGAGCAATTAGCTCATGAATATTAATTAAAGGAGGAGTCAAATTTAAATGCCATCGTTAAAGTTTACCGATTGGTAGGTGTAGAAGTTAATATTAACTCGTTATATTTTAACTACGGTAAAACATTTAGATATCAAACTATCGTCATATAAACTTGTCATTCGTTATTTTGATATTAATGAAAAATAAAAAGCATAGAACAATTACATTGTTTAATGACTCTTCACTAAGAGGGGGAGGGTTAAGTTTTGTGACATACTTATTTTTGGGGGTTGGTAGATTTGTGACAGTTTGTGACAAAGGGAGGGGGGTCAAAAAAACTTTCAAAAGGCATGACATCCTTAATGGACAGCCCCCAATCAGCAGTTGTGTGCCAGAAAGCTTTTCACTCCACTCCATATTGAGTTTTCATTTATTGAGATTAAACAAAAAAATCTGAATATAATCGGCGACATTATTAAATGGACTTAAAAACGTTATGATTTGAGAAAAAGCTTTTTCCGGCATAAACTTATAATATAGCTTTGGCTAGATTTTCTAAGTCCTCGTTACGATTTTTGTCATCAATTTAACAAGGTGTTAATAAAATAAATAAGGTGCGACAATTTTTAACTACAAATATTAACAACGCTATCTTGCATTTTATCATAAATAACAAGATTGAAAACACACAGTAAAGCTTTCCAAATACATTTTTTAAATTCAAGTGATAAAAATAATTTATTAACATATATCTTTATTAATATAATATATTATTTTGTTATATTATTTGACAGATCCAGTTAGTAGACCCAAAATTAGTTTTGGATGAAGCAAAACATAACATATTATCTAACGAAATTGATTAAGCGATGTTTTTTCACCTTAGTTTTTCAATGGTGTAGTGACTATAAAATTCGCCCTGGGCAAATTTCATTATTGTGCCCATTGACTGATTTATATATTTTGACGCTCTAACACAAAAAACACTAACTTATTTTTATAATTTTTGACATTAAATTTTTAAAGTCAGTAATTTATTTTACCAATGTAAATTATTGCAAACGCGTTTGATAGACCATGAGAACAAAATGTGTTCGTTTACATTTTATAAAATTTGTAATTATTCTTCGAAAGTCTTAATTAAGGTACTACTACTTGAAAAATATACCTTCTTGAAATAGCAACTGAACTGTCCCAACTTGTTATCCTCTCTTCCTATGCTGTTGAAGCATTTCTGTTCGTGTTTTTTCATAGTTTCTTAACATGTAATTTCGCTTGTTTATCAGTTCAAACAAACTTACTATTTTATAAACTTAGTCTTTTAAAAACACTTCTGAAACCACTACATCGTGTTTATCTGTTCCTGCTGATGAACTAGGACAGAAACAGTGCCGGAACAAGCGTATTTGCCAGGGGGGATAAAACTACCACGTTATTATTATGCTACTACCGTAAGCTGTTGATTAAATGCAGTTTTTTAAATTACATATAACATGTTTCCTATTAAAATGTTTCTTATTGCAACATATTGTTCGTGGCCTTCCAATTAACTTTTAAACTAGAAATTGACAATTTCTTATGTTCTACATGGGTGTAATTTATTAATTAATATATCAAGATTTAGAATACCAATATCTTTGTATATAAATCTATGAACATTCAACGGTTAAAAATTTTTCAATAAAGTTATTCATAATGTTTTGCGCTAATTGCTTCCTGTTTCTGTTTTCGTTTTATGTCGAAAAGGAGTACCCTACTTTTGTATGCATCGTAATGATTTTAGATTTTTGAAGCCTTTGGGAAAAATTCTTTACATGATGGATAGTTTAAAAATATGAGTGATGGATATCTGTAATGATTTGTTAAAGCAAATAATTACTTAAATATATATCATTTGATGTGCTTTTTTTACATTGAGTTATATAACTCAACGCTTTTTTATTGCTCAATCTATCAATGTACAACACTTCTTCAGTGGTTGTGTTTATATTAATTGAGTTGCAAATTCAATTGTTAATATTTTTTTCAACTACCTGGTTATATAACAGCGTATTGGTAATACTTATAAAGTGTATCATAAAGAGCATCGCATATTTGTTTGGTATCTACGACTAATTCATTATTAATTAAAAAGATATTTATTTCCATAGAATTTGATTTTCTGTTTATTTAGGATTAACGTTTTGATCAAAAATTAAATTTCATAAGCACTTGAATAAGATTAAATACTCATCATATCTCTTTACGAATGTGGGGCAGATCAGAAAAGTTTAATAATAAATATATGAATAATATAAAAATATAATAAATATATTTAGCAATGTTAAGACCACTCATAGATTATGGTAGTCAAACAAGAGATTCCTATTTTAAAATAATAGAACCATTAATTAGTCAATCTATAAGATGTCTAGGGGCCATTGACAGATCTAGGAGAAGGAGGGCTAGTCTTCCCCGTTTAAGCCGTATTAATTGTGTATTAATTAATAATTAATTAATTTTATTAAGTCAATAAAACTCATTGTTTCAACAGAAAAAGCAACGTTTTATGTCGAAAATCGATCGAACAAAAATTGACGTGATAAGCAAAAAAGGTAGTCAGCCTAATTCTGATCATAACCTACTGCCAAAAATTTTGCCCCCTCTCGTAAAAATTTTCAAAATTTTGGTCCCAGTCAAAGTTGTTTAGATCCGCCAATGCTAGTTCACCAATATTTGGAAAAACACTCCAAATATATAAATCATCCAAAGAATACTCCTTATTAAATATGCGAAGTATAAACAAATGTATACCGACGAATCAAAAATTAACAATTTAACAAGCGCAGCTGCAATCAATCATATAGCCAGACATTCTAGTTATGTGGTCAAACTCATGTAACATCTAGACTATTGAGTCTCAAACTTTTTTTCTTCCACTGCCAACTTCTAGGAAAAAATTTTTCTAGTGCCCCCCCACTTTAAAACTTATCATTTGAAAGAAATGTAATAAAAGTTATAACAATAATATATATTAGTCTCGTTTCTCTGTGCATACACTTATTTTAAAATTATATAAATTTTGAGAAAAAAAACCAGTAAAATACTGTTTTACAAAGAAAGAGGATTTTTAAATCCAAGTTGAAACGAACAAACAATTGAACATAAATGAATCTAATGGGATAGGTGAATTTGATGATTTTTTTATAAGAGTGTTAATATCAGGCTCTAATTTATAAAAAACTGTCTTAAATCTCTACGTTTAAGGTTTAATGCTTATTAATGTCCAAGTTATTTTGTTTTAGGTTGGGCACAGATCTGTAACTTTAATTACTAGTCTCAATTACTTCATTTTAATGCAGACATTAATTCATCAAAACCTTCATCAATCTTGTCATTTTATGGCTCACTGTTTTGCTGCATGCCAATAATCAACGATGATTTAGTTTACTCCCTCCTAAGAGACAACAAAATTAACAGATTTTATTTTATTTAAAAAAGCATAAATAAATCAACTGCACATTTAAAAACATTTATATTATAACAAAAAAAAAAAAATGCTAAATCTAACAGAATTAATGATTTGTTGTTGCAAATTTGACTAATTCTAAGTCATAATGTTCAAGATTTTAAAAGATGATCGGGCAAAGGTTCAATAGACTCCCTGGTAATTTTCATTGCCATCCCCTCAGGTAAATTTCGTTGAATATATTCAAGAAACGTGTTAGCTGTTGATCCAGTTAAATTTTTAAGTTGGACAACTCGGTAGGCGGTTCTCGTTTCATACTGAACCATGTGTTTACGATAAATATGAACTGATTTTAACAATGTCCATCGCCTAATAGACCTGGGTGGAGACCAAACTTTACATATACTTATATCCAGTTCATTGGCAGCCATGGTAAGAAACTGCTCGTAACTTTTCATAACAGCTAATTCATGGCCCTTGAGTTCAATCGTTATAGTTTTATACAAAACATCTGATTCCGAACCATCTGCACAACTGTACGAGTGCAATTCACGTCTGAACAACTTAGGATGAACGTTGAACAAATTAGTTGAAGTTAGACTACGCAATGCCTTCACATTAATAGAATTTAATGAAAGAAGTCCAAATCTTAACAAAGATATCGATCTCTTGAGCATAGTTTTTTTATCGATGTCTTCCGAAGCCGTGCTGATTGTACCGGTTTCGAAGTTTTTTTTGTCGTTATAAGTGAAGTTGTCCGCAATATTAGAGTTGAAGCTCATTATCATCAGTTTTGGAATTGAGCTATAGTACCTAAATTTAGCATTAATACATCAATCGAGAAGCATTTATTTTATTTATTAAATAATTTTTAGCCATCAATTTTTATCCGTCTTGCATAAATTAAAATAAATACATATTACATTAGACCAATGATAAATTAAAATTCTGCGTGCGGCTGTATGCTGACGGTGACTGCCAACTCTAATCTGATGCGTGTGTATGCTTTTGTGACTTATTTCACTGACAATTATCCTTCTCGCTTTCTGGTGGCAGCCAATTCGTCCATTCATTCGTTTCGTTGTCAGTTGGATGTAAAATAGTAAATTTTCATTTTATATACACTTTGGCAAACGTTAAGTTTCGTGCCCAACGCAGTTAAATATGAATGATGCTTCAGCTGTAAAATAGTTAATTGTTAATTCAATAATGTTTTGAATAAATTTTTAATTAAAGAAAAAGGGTTAGGTTAGTTAGCGTTAGTTAGAATGTTAGATTTTCAACTTTTAAACGTTAAATTAACTTTTTTTAAAGCTCTACCTATGGTAGCATAGCATCATGCATAACTATCTGCGTTGGGCTTGAAACTTTTGTCTATATATTTTATATTTATGTGATAATTTTTTGCATAATCAACAGCAGCACATTTTAGATCTAAGATAGTGATTGTGTTTAATTAAATTATTTAAGATTTTAAGATGGGTAATGTATTGTATTCATTATTGTAGTAATGCTTGTTTGCTTAATTTTAAACTGCGGATATAAAAAGTGTCATAAAATGGATCTTCTTTTGACAATCTTAAATTTTAATATCAGCAATGGCAACAGTAAACAACAAAAAAGTAATGTCTTTGCAACAGATCTTCTTTTGACAAGGATATTGTTTTATGACACATTTTCTTAAACTTAAATTTGTGAGGCAGTAGTTAAGATATCTAGGAATGAAATATGATTACTACTGAGTCTCTTCTTTCCTGGAAATAGAAACACTTATAACTTTTCAGAATTTGACATAAAAACGAGATGTTTTTTTTATAGGATTGCCTCCTTTGCAATAAAGAAGATTATTTTTATTTGATATTATATTAACTTTTTTGCTTAATATGTAAATAAATGTCTGTAAATATATTTTATTAATTTTTTAAATTACCTTATAATTTAAATATTAATTGTTTGGTCACCAATATTATTAGTGGAATTGTTTAGTCATAAATTATTAATCTAGTATGTGTAGCAGGTCCAAAATTGCTGGTATCCATTTTGTAGCATGCTTTCATCCATTGGGAAACTCATCAGAAATGTAATTTCTATCACAAACTAATTCACTGAAATAATTAATGTTTTAAGTAGCAACTGCTGCTTTTCAATGTTTTTTAACTAAACCATAAAAACAATGTTTTCAAAGCTAGTATAATTATTACTAAAAGTTATATTCAACTTTAAAGTATTTTATTACATTTTTGTGCTCATATTTCTTTTGGCTGTTTTCGGGTTTTTTAAATTAATTTATTTTTAAACTTCTAGGTGTAAGATTCATTGTGAAAAGATATATGAGGTTTTTTCTGGAAAGAACTGAGCAGTATGTCTTCAAATCAAAAACTCCCTGTAGATCTTGAACTTAAAAAAGTTAGAGATTTTTCAAACCGATTCTATTACTACTGTATTATTATTTGTTGAAAATTGGTTTGAGAATTCGGTGATGATTTAAACACATTTCGATAATGCAAACGTGTTCTTGTGCATAAAAATTAAAGCATCAATCAATCAATCCTCGTTTATAGTCTCCATCCGTTATGGGTCGGACTTTTTTATTCCATTCATCAGTTTCTGTTTCCAAGCCGATCTACCCATTGCATCTGTCTCCTTGAGACCAAGTACCTTCAAGTCCTCCTGTATGGTCTGCTTCCTGGACTTTTTTGGACGACCTCTTGGGCGGGAGCCAAGCACCTGGTGCTTAGTAACGGAAATTATTGTATCGTTTTCGCTTTGCTTCACATAGCCAAACCATTGTAGGCGATGACGACGACATGCAACCTTCAACGTAAAAAGTTAAAGCATATATTTTGAGGTATTTTCAGAAGAGTAATATGATGGCAAAAACTTATAAACATTCCTTTGTGGAATTTAGGTAGACTAAATTGACGGTTGCGATATTGGAGAACTATCATATTTGTTGGCACATTTGTTTATTTAGGGGTTAAGCTGAACGCGGATGGAGGATGTTTGAACGCTGTTACGACTAGAGTTCGTGTGGGATGGATGAAATTTAGGGAACTTGGTGGGGTATTGTGTGGAAAGAAATGGTCAGTGAAAATGAAAGGGAGGGTATATAAAGCTTGTGTGAAAGCAGCGATGGTATATGGTGGTGAAACTTGGGTGTTGAGGAGAGAGGAGGAAAGTGTACTGCAGAGGGCTGAAAGAGCTATGGTGAGGATGATGTGTGGGGTTAAAGGGTTAAAGTGAAGGATGGGAGGAGTAGTACAGAGCTGATGTCGAGGATGGGACTGCATGAGGACATTGTGACATTGATAAGGAGATCGAGATTGCGGTGGTATGGACATGTGTTTAGAAGGGATGAAAGGGTCGGGATTAGGCGAGTGTTGGAGTTCGAGGTTGAAGGAGTGATAGGAAGAGGTCGTCCGCGACTGGGATGGAGAGAGCAGGTGGAGAAGGACAAAGTGAAAGCGGGGTTGCGTGATACTGAGGCGAGTGACAGATGTGAATGGCGTCGAGGGGTATTTCGGTTTCATCATAGGTAGCCAAACGGCAACCCCCGATCTCTGGGAAAATGTCGTCTAAACGTGTGTTGTTGTTGTATCACATTTGTTGGCATAAGATCGAATATTATGGTTTGATGTATGGCAACAAATCATAATCGAAGATTGTTAAATTATTAATTATTTAAATAAAAGTCTTTAAAATAATTATTTTTTTGTTTTGCAGTTTTGTTCTCTGTTGAATCATTCATTGATTAATTCATTTGGGCTTGAAGCTTTAATAATATTTTGATATGATAATTTTAATTTAAATGGAAATTTTTCTGCACAATAATTGAATGTTATGTTCAACAAACAACACACACCACACGCACACACACACATGTAACAAATTTCATTCAAAATAAAATAATAAAATATATTTCTGCATTTTAAAATGAATATTGTTATGCACGACGAATGAACTTGTCTTTTTTTTCAATTCCTCAAAGCGCAGTTGAAATGAGGACAGTGATAGTAACGTCGAAAAAACATCTAACTAGTTTCTCCATTTGGTCTTCATCACAGTCATGCATGAAAAACCCGTGTCATATAAATAGGTCTGTGTATTCTGACCTAATGTTGATTTGGAAAGCGACGAATATGTCTTCAGACTGCGTCTTTAGCTCTTTTTCAGCGGCAATCTTTAAAGGATTATTTTTCAATCTAATGGTCATATCTTTAATTCCAATAAAATAATTCCATTTCAGTAAACTTTCTTTCATTTTCAGACATAAAAACAAACGCTTTTAATTTGATCAAAATATAGAATTGTAATAAAACTAACCTAACTTTAGTCATAAATTTTTTTATTAATTTCAATAAATTTTAATGTATTGAATGATAATTCATTCTATTCAAACCAAACTAAAATAAAATATATCCTATTTTAAAACGTTGGCAATTTTTTACTTTCATGCCGTTTTCTTATTTAATGTAACTAAGTGTTTAAACCATGAATATATATAATATGGATATGGCAGACGCGTTATACATATATACATTGTTCATATATATAAAACATCAAGGTCGATCTAGCAAATATGTTACATAGAATCGCTTGAAAAATGAATTTAAGTTAAAGTAAACAATCAGTTTTTAACCGGTTGTATAGCGATTATGGTCCTATGTAATGGTCCCAGGTAATAATCATTATGCCATATCCATTATATCCATGATTTAAACAGCTGATCACGCTCATTTTAAAAAAAATATTAATTTCTGGTAGGTTAGCACTCGTGCGCTCACTTCCCTCATTTTATAATTTTAACTAATCAGTTGTATTTAAATAACTGACCACAGTCGGATTGAAAAATCCTAGCGCGTAAAACTAACAATCCTCAATAATAATTAAAACACCACGAGCTAACGAAGTAATTTGTGCGGGCTATATAAGACACTGCGATAACTATTATGATAGGTATTCGGGCTGCTGATGAGTCCCCAGTAGGGACAAAACACGTGTCCAGCCTATCCAAACGAATACTATTCTTTTCTTCTCCCGTTTACTGCTCTTCCTGTTTCGGCGTTCTATTACATAAGCTCGACCGCAACACCACGTACGTCTACGCACATAAATCTCGCCGTGATTATTGAATCTGGTTGGTTACAGGTCATGCTTTATTTTAATCGCCAATCATATGTAATGTATTTTTCATTGCGCGGCTGGTCAAATGCAAACAAGAATTATGTTGATTTTTTCCGTTATTCTACGGCCTGACACCGTTCCTCGGACTGCTTGGCGAAGCACTGGCTTAATATACACTATAAAATAAAAGCTTATGAAAATCCAATAAATATATCCAACTGTTTATATTTTAAAAGGCTTTTCAGGAACTGCAAATGAAGATGCTATCAACGTCCCAGCAGTTAAAGGTCTCAGACCTTCAAATAGAGCAGCTGAAAAATCAAATCACTAGGACAAAATTGGTTGGTAAAGAATTAGAAGCATTACCTGAAAATGTCAATACTTACAGGAGCCTCGGCAGAATGTTAATTTATATTTTTCGCTTTGATTAAACTGTTTTTAATTGAAAATTTTTTCAAGCGTCATTGCAAATTGTTGATTACTATAAAATAACATTGTTTCAAGGTTCCTCAAAACACCTTTACAAATTGTTCATCAATATTTGGACAAAGAAACCAGCGGGTTTCAAGATAAAATAAAATCAATAGAAGTGAGATATTGAAAATAAATTTTCATACATTTCTCAAATAATTTTTTTATAGCAACTTTTATTAATTTGATTCAGTTTTTATAATTTTATCAATTTTTCACATATTTTTCCAGTATTCCATTAGAATAGCTTGAAAATGCCAAAATATTATTGTGCTGTTCAGTTAATTTTATAGAATTTTCAATGCATCTCTTTAAAAAATTATTTTTAAAAACTTTGTAACTTGTTTTTTTCAGAATACTAAACATTATTTGGAAAGAACTCTGAAAGAAAGTGAGGAAAATTTAAGAGAATTAGTACTTTCTAAGCAAAGAGAACAAACGTGAAGATGATTGATCATTTCATAAATATGCATATATAATTATTTTACTTTTGTATTATGATTTATGTTATATAATTATGAAAAAATGTTTATAAATTACGTTTAAGCATGTTTTACTTTGTCGTATATTAAAAAAATATATGACAATGCTGACTTATGCAGTAAGAGCAAGTAATCAGGATGTCTCCATTTTTTCTCTAAAAGCCTAAAACATGAAATTTTTGCTTTACATCATTTAGACTGTTCCCTCAAAGGAAATATGAAAATGTTGAAGAACTTGTTCAGATTTTTGCTTGCTTCTATCAATCAATCAATCTTCGTTTTGCGTCCAGAGACCCGGTTTCCCGAGGTAGGACGTTGTTCTCTTTGCCATCAACTTTTGCGCCAAATTAGACGATCAGTTGTATCCATTTCATTTAAATTTAGAGCTTTCGTGTCTTGCTCGATTGTTTGCGACCAGGACTTCTTTGGACGGCCTTTGGGACGTGTGCCAGGTACTTCAACATCTGCAAGAGAAGTTATGGCACTGTTTCCACTTCGTTTGACATGACCAAACCACCGCAGACGGTGTTGCCGGCATTCGTCCTTTATATCATCTAAACCAGCACGATGCAAGATTTTGGTAGATTTGACTAATTCGTTGCATTCATCGGAGCATTTTCATGTCGGTTCGTTGAAGTTGTTCCAGTTTAGTTGTCATTGGCCATGTTCCTGCACCATATAACAACACCGGACGTATCACAGATTTATAAAGTCTTGATCGTAATGGTAGTGGGATGTCACGCCGCATCAATAAAGAGGCAAGGAGATGCCATTTATTCCAGGCTGCACGTATGCATGCTCGAACGGCAACTTCAGCTGTTCCAGTAAAATCCAGAACATCCCCTAGATATTGAAACGATGTGACTTTCTCTACCTTAATGGCTTCAAAAACAGTGCTATTTCGAATTTGTTTTTGTGGATTGATGCAAGCAGGACAAACAAAATTGGACACTTTAGATAAAGTACCAATTATTTTTGAACAACGTTTGTGACACCACTGGTTACACTGCTGACACTTGATTGAATTGTTACCTACACCAGCTTTACAAACTGAACAGGGCCATCGTCCAGTAGCTCTGGATTGGATGGGTTCACCAGTGTTCATTGCTTTGGTTTTGCTGATGTTGACTTTGAATCCATGATCGGCGAGTCTGGTGTTCCAATCTTCAAACATCTGTGCTGCATTCTGCTCAGACGTGGCTGTTAAAACGATATCATCAGCATATATTAGATTCCAAATGTCACCAATGCGTATCGGTTATGTGATTTCTTCCATCACAGTTATAAATAAGAGTGGACTGAGAATCGAGCCTTGCTTCTCCTTTGTTATATTCGTCTTTGGATGTGTCAGAACATCTAAATAAAGTCAAACGTATTAAATTTAATTAAATAAAATAGTTAATATTACCAGTATTACGCTATAGGTTTTAATACCACCAAACAAAACTGACGAAGAAACACAAATATATCTATATAGAACAAACACACATTTATATATTATATATATGTATGTTGGTAATAAACCATAATTTTTACAATATTCTATAAATTCTACCGAATGTTTAGCGTTAATATGTTCGATTTTTCTCACTAAAATTTTTGGAGAACGTTTAGTTTATTAAAATTCAAAATAAACTTATTTTCCGAATTCGTGTTGCAAATAAGGCCATATTTAGATTCCGAATGAATCATCAGCAGTGCACGTTGGTTTATATAGGGAAATATTTACTTTGTGAATGTGAACTTCGATGGTAATTAGGTGTCAGATTTCTTTATTGGCTGGTCCATCTTCGTAGGTTTCCTTTTCTTCGTCAATAGCATATTATTATATTATAGCATATTATATATTATCATATCATCATATTCTTTGTCATTATTTACAATGCTAGTTTTTATTACTTCTTTGTTTTCATTGTTGATTATGCGCCGAGTTTGGAGTGAGGTTGTCATTTTTGTTGTATATTTATTTTTGGTTTATTGATGTCAATTAGAACTGCTTCTGCAATTTTAAGATGCGTGTAGTTGGTGTTCTGGTATATTAATTTGATATTGCTGTCGAGGATTTCACGGCTTATAGTGATTGAGTGTGTTGAGTCCAAGTGAAATTTGATAGCACCACTTTGTTTATGCATCGTAAGCCTCTAGTCAGTGAGGTAGTAGTAATCCCGATATATGAGTCATGTTGACGTGCACAGCCGTCAAAGGGGCAGTTAAACTCATATTACGTGATTACGCTTTAACACAGAGTTATCTCTAGGACTACAATTGTTTTTCAGAATTATGTGAGACGTCTTTTTATTGTTGTAATAAATTCGGAGTTTAACTTATTATGGTCGTATTTGCAGCATGAATTCGAAAAATAAGTTTATTTTGGATTCTAATAAACTAAACGTTCTCCGAGATACTTTAGTGCGAAAAATCGAAAAAACGAACTACAAACATATTAACGCCAAACATTCTGTAGAATTGATAGAATATTGTAATATATATATATATATATATATATATATATATATATATATATATATATATATATATATGTATATATATATGCTGACGCTAAAATTAATAATATTAATGTTAAAACCTGTCAAAGCTGATACTTATTCTCTAGCTCTATATCTACCAATAAACCAATTTGCTTGTTTTTATCTTCGGCAATCAATCAATCAGCTAGTAAAGTGTTATTTCCGCGATGTTCATAAATTTTGCAAACGGATTGGTCTTGAGATCAGATCCGCTCTAAATTTCATAAGTGATAGAGTTAGAGAAGGAGATAGAGACTTTCAGAGAAAAGGGCCAACAAAAGATGCAGATTAAGCATAAGAGTATTCAACATAAGTTAAGAAGTAAGAACGAGAAGGCGATCGTAAACCGGGGACGTTTAGGTTCAATTAATTTATCTGATAAGTACTTAGGCAATAATTTAGATTGAGACTTGTTAATTTTTAAAATTATTCTATATTTTATAGGTAGCCAGTGGAAGGGAACAAGATATGGAGATATATGAGAAAAAAATAGTGGTACGGGCAACCAGACGAGCAGTAGAGCTTTTCTTAAAGGATAGAGTGTAAAATCAGGATTATTAACATTAAATAAAACTTAGGAAATAACAAAAAGAAGAAAAGTAGGATCGTCAACAAAGGGCAAAAGATTTTTTTATTCTACGTAGTAAGAACTTTTTAGCATCACTACTAATATGAAAGTGGTGTGGTTTCCGACCATAGTTTGATACATGTGACCATAATGATGACAAAGATCGCTTCCTGGAAAGCTACCAAATTAGTGAGATCTTGGAAAAATTTGGATGAGAGAAGGTGTGTTAAAATTATTGCCGACTCTGCTTGGTCGAGACCTTGTCTAAGTAATGATGTTGAATTATTAAACAGTCAGCTTAGAACTATAGTGAATCAAGTGGCACCACTTCACATAGTTTCAGATGTGATGTATCGGCACCTTGGTTCGGTGATGAATGTAGAGATAACAAACGATGTTGCAGAAAGTTAGAAAGGAAATATAGAAAAAATCTTGTTGGTAATGATAAACATGTGTGGTTTAAAATAAATTTGTTGGTGGTTTAAAAGTAAAATATTTGCTGAAAAGCGTAAACTGTTTTGTAGCAGGTTGGTTAGTGAGAATAATAACAATTCAAAGAATCTGTGGAAAGTGGTTAACAAAATCATCTGCAATAAAAATGACCTTGATGTGCTCATGATTTTTCTCTGAGCTGTTTATGAAATTTTCCCAAGATAAAATTGATAAAATGAATCAGATAGACAAATTTTTAATAATAGCAGGATTGTCTCAGAAAATTAATAAAACGATAAGGCGATCGTAAACCGGGGACGTTTAGGTTCAATTAATTTATCTGATAAAAACTTAGGCAATAATTTAGATTGAGACTTGTCTATTTTTAAAATTATTTTATAGGTAGCCAGTGGACTAGAACAAGATATGGAGATATATGAGAAAAAAATAGTGGCACGGGCAACCAGATGAACAGTAGAGCTTTTCTTAAAGGATAGAGTGTAAAATCAGGATGATTAACATTAAATAAAACTTAGGAAATACCAAAAGAAGAAAAGTAGGATCGTCAACAAAAGTTGTTGGTGGTGAGTAATTTTTCAAAAAATCAATAAATGAAGGCATTCAGTTCACAAGCAATAAAAAAACACTCAATGAAAACCTTTAGACAACATTCGACAAAGATACGACACAAAATGGATGATTTCCAGAAATGTGCCAGCAACTCTACAGAATGGTTAACTAAAGATTTGCAAATTAATAATTATAATTATCATCAAACTGTTGAACATATTTGTTTAGATTTTTTTGAAAATTTTAAAATAAATCTCATAATTATTTATCACTACTACATATAAATGCACGTAGCTTATACGGTAAAATGACTACATTAGATATTTTGATTAATCAGTTTAATTCAATTTCTCATACTGTGAGATTAAAAGCTTTTCATTCAAGCATCAAACTTAATGGTCCGAGGGTATGGGATACCGTATTGCCACATGAAATTAAAACAATCAACTCATTATACTTATTTAAAAACAAGCTAAAAACTTTTTTAGTTAAAAAAACACTTATTTTAAATAGTTTTACACTATTTTACAACTTTTTTAATTTTGATTTTTTAGTAAGCGAATTTTCAGTCTCAGTTGTGACTATACTGTTACCTTTAGGTATATGAAACATGTCAGTTTTCATGGAATGATGTACGTGTGACCATGTGTTTGTGTATATGTATTTATTTGACATTTCTGTTACATTTATAGTAAGAATTTGCGTGTATGTATTTATTTGACATTTCTGTTACATTTACAGTTAGAATTCTTAGTTAAGGGTGGCCTATCCACAAGTTTATCTTTTTTGGTTATCCTTCAAATAAATAAATAAAAAATAAAAAAAAAATTCATTTTCAGTTTTCTCGAAGGTCACAGAATGTGAGATTAAAAAACTCATTCTTAGCTCACCGGCCTGGATATTATTCCGACGCATATATATTTAAAAAAAACATATTGATTAATTTTTAACCTTCATTACTAGTTTTGTAAATTTAAGTCTAAAATCTGGTACTGTGCCTTCTTACTGCAAACATGCAGTGGTAATTCCTCATCTGAAGAAAGTGGACGCTAATAAAGATGAATTACAGAATTACCGTCCGATTTCAAATCTTTGTTTTATATCTAAAATTCTTGAACGAGTGGTGGTGATTCAACTTTTAAGAATTTAGATTGGCACTCTGTGATGCCTGCCAACCAATAAGGTTATAGACGTCATCATAGCACTGGGACGGCACTGGTACATGTTTTGTTAGGGATATACAAAGCCGTTGATGAACAAAAGGTGTTACTCTTGTCATTCTTGGACATAAGTGCCGCGTTTGACTGTGTGGACCACCAAATCCTACTGGATAGACTGTCGTATGATTATTAGGTAACCGGTGTTCCAGCCGCATGGTTCAGACCCTTTTTTCATGGACGAACACAGGTGATACTTTTTAATAATACACTATCTGGTGTCGGTGCAATTTCATCTGGTGTTCCGTAGGGTTAAGTTTTGGGACCTTTTTTGTTTATGCTATATACATAGGAAGTTTTGAGGATCATTGAAGCTAGTGGTTTTAATTGCCATGCCTATGCAGATGATATTTAAGTAATACTCATGAGCAAACCAGAATTGTTAGAAAACGAAGTACCGAGGTTTTTTAAATGTTTGTCGGATATTGATAATTGGATGTCAAAAATCATGTTAAAATTGAATCGGTGTAAAACCATGTTTTTGCCATTTGGTACACGGTGGCAATTGGCTAAGATTGGTTTAAATTCAGTATATGTCGATGGTCAGCATATAGAATTTTGTGAACATGCCATTAACCTGGGAGTTGATTTGGATTCAAAATTGTCCATAAAAAATCATTTGGAAATGATTTCATCATCATATACGTATCAACTTCATAGATTATATCGTATTCGCAAATGGCACCAAACACGCTTTCAAACTTTAATTCCACAGAATGCAATTTTTCATTTCACTAATTGAATTAAAAAAATTTTTTTTATAAATATTTAAGGTACTTAAACATGTTGATTTGATCAAGGTTATGTCACATGTCGACATTTATTTCCGAATAATACTTATCAGTAACCTTTTAATTGATATTTTAAAATATTTAAATGTCTAATTAAGTTAATAATTAAGTAACTTTAAATAATTATAGGCTCCGAAGATGGCTTTAGCCAAAACGGCCGTCAGCGAAAATATGAATAATAATTTGAATTTAAATAAAATTGAAGCAAATAAACTACGCCGAGTCGAAATTTAGTTTTAAAAAGTAATAACAACAAAATAGGGTATTGTTTCAAATAAAACATGCTTATCCGAAAATCTCGTAACGAATTATATATATATATATATATATTATATATAAATATATATATATATATATATACATATATATATATATATATACAGATTTTTTTGAAAAATCACAGCATTTTCAGCGTTACTTAAATTAAGCAAGGCTGAAAATGCTGTGACTTCTAAACAACTGCATATCTGATAGTCTGAATCCTAAATATATATGTATATATTTATATGTTGGAAGGAGACCATATTTATACACAATTGTATGAGTTCTACCGAATTGTTGGCATTAATCAATTAAAAGTTCTATCATGCATTAAATAAACAAAATTTTGGTTTTGAACTAAAAAAACTTGAAAATGATTTACGATTAACCGTTAGAAAAATCGAAAAGTTAAATTGGAAGTTAACTAACGCCGAACATGCTGTGATTTTTATCAATAATTGCATTTCTGACTGTCTTAATCTAATATATATATATATATATATATATATATATATATATAATTGAAAAAAACGAACTACAAACATATTAACGCCAAACATTCGGTAGAATTTATAGAATATTATAAAAATTATGGTCTATTACCAACATATATATATATATATATATATATATATATATATATAACAAATACTGGAAAACTCAATAATATTGTTACGTTGTGTGTGTTTGTCTTGCAGGTAACAAAGTTTGACCAGAATGTTTGAAAATATCAAGTTAAACAATATCACAAGAGTTAAAAAATTAAAATTTGAAAAATATTTGTCTACATGAAAATATCATTTAAATCCCCCAATGATAACATCAGTGCTATTTATTTTTCATTTCTTTAATGTTTTCTTTTTCTTTCAACATTCTGAATTGATTTTCAAACCAATTTATTTTATCTACAACCTCTTCTTGCATTAAATTAAATGCCATAGACAATATTGCCATTCCAGTCACCATGTACAATGCTGTTCCAACCATTTTAAGCTGACCTGATGTATCGTTAAGATCAGTAGTACTCGGTACAATGTCACCAAAACCGATTGTTGAAAATGTGATGAAACTAAAATACGCGGCGTCCATCCATTCCAGTGGTATCCAAACTGCAAATAACAAGGCTCCGAGAAAAACGTAGCTTGCTATCAGAAAGAGAGTTACCACAATAGGTACACTTATTTTCTCAAGCTCTTCATCGTCATCATCGTCAACGACGTTATTATTGTAACTGATTCTTGGTTTCATCGTGTTTTGATTATCATCACGCAGATTAGAATATGATGTGGTAGTAGAAGGTTTTTTGCACCATTTAACAACACCGCAGCAACAGACATTCAAATAGGTGTAACGAAATATGTTAGCCATTATTTCTCCGATGTTGGCCAAAGTTAAAAGCATAAGTGGAATTCCGAGTAGCGCGTATGCTATACAAACCAGACGTCCCCACATTGTTTTTGGCGCTATATTTCCGTAACCTAAAATTTTTTTAAAAATTTTTTTCAAGAAATTTAAAGCTGTTTTTTAAAATTGAAAATGAAATAGAGAATAAATAATAAAATAGCAATAAATACATAACACGAAATATTTGAATGGATAGAATTGAACACACACCAACTGTTGTGAAGACGGTCGTCGAGAACAAAATGGCGGCAGGCAAGGACCACTGATAATCTGTGCCGTTAGGTAAACCAATCATGGAGCAATTTGTTCCGTTGTAGGCAATGGAAAGGATACTATCTCTAAATCCGCTGAGTTGTTTTTGAAAAGCTAAGGTAGCTGAATTTACGTCGCCAGGTGAGTCATAATTATTTATGATTGCCCACATTTGTCGAACTGTTTCATTTTCAACAGGCATATATTTATTCTGTTTTTCTACACATTCCTGCTTTTCATTCGTAGATTCTAAATGCTTAAAAATGAATCCGCCAGCGATCGCGTACATGCAGACCATTACAATTAACAATAATTTTGGGCAAATAAATTTCAAAGCTGCTTTAGTTCCATCTTTTACACTGGACTCCATTATCGTTGTTAAGCAAAATTTAACTAACGAAGAATTGAAATGAAAATTTCTTTACATGACAAAATCAATATAATAGAGTTGCCTAGCGATGAGTTGTTTGTTTTCTTTCTGTATCGATCTGGCCAACCGCAACGCTCGTTTCTTACACCCACTGGCGTGTTATTGTGTTTTTTACTATGCAATAAATTTTATTATTTTTATTTATTTTTGCAGTTAATCTTCGATGATCCAGTAATTTTGTTAGATGGATAAACAGTTGAACATCTTTATCGACTAGAATATTTTCAGCTATGCACTGCTAGTCCACAGCACTCCTGAGCTCTCATTGAAATACTAAAAAACGGTTACTGGAATGCACAAAATATAGTTGAAGGTAGATTGCGACTGTTATTTGCTGTAATGTCATGTGATAGCAATTGAAGAAGCTGTTTTGAGTGAAAAAACGATTTGGAAGTCTATTCTATGAATACGTCGTCACGTTTACAACAGATTCGTTTAATAAATCAGTTAATTTATTTTGATAAAAAGTGCAATTTGATACGACGTTTACTATTATTATTATTATTATTCATACCATTTATAAAGCGCCCGTTTGAAAAAACAATCGTCACGGGCGCTTCAATATATTAAATGCTATTAAATATATTAAATTCAATATATTAAAGGCTGAACAGATAGGTTTTCCGCTGTCTCTTAAATTGACTTAGATCAAAATCACCACTGCGCGAAGTGTTTGGAAGGCTATTCCACAATCGTGGTCCAACCACAGCAAAGCTTCGAGATCCAATCCTCAGGTCTGCCTTTGGCACACCCAAAGAATTTGAATCAACAGACCTCAATTCATATTTTGACAACTTTGTTCTATCATTAGTAAACAAATCGATCATATTTTGTGTTCATGTTAAATATAGACAATATTACCATTCTAGCTACCAAGTATAATGCTATTTTTAGATTTATATATTTCCTCACAATACATGTAACCTTATGACATTGAAGGCGTTTACGCACCTCACTAGATTTTTCAGTTTAAATTAGAAAATATTATATCTACTATGACGCAAGAATATGTTCCAAATTTTATTCACGGCCTAGTGCATCAACACGTTCTTTTCGGATTAGCCACTGCAACTTTATTAAATAAATGCATTTGTCAAGCTATAAAAATTTTTGAAATTTTAAGTCCATTTTTTTGGTAAAGCCACTTTTTTGGTTTCCCATCAGCAAACTTAGATAAGTATTTAATTTAATCCACATATAACCTATGTCCATTCATTGCAATTAAATAAAACTAATCAATAATTTTTATTCTGAATATAATTAAAAATGGTTTACAGTTTTTAAAGCGCTTATTTATTTTCCCTGACTTTGTGCGTATGTGTTGGCTATGAGACCTTCTACGAAATAACGAACAACTTATTTTATTGAGATAGTTTTCAACTGTCAACACGTAGTACTTTTTAAGATATTTGTCCTCGTTGACTTAAGAAAATGTTTGTTTGTTTCAGTTACAGTTTAAGTTGTTTTGGCGATCCTATAAGCCAGTCTGATCACCAAACTTGACCAACCTCAGCAGAATATAATAATCAAACGTCGGGGCAGTCAGACTTCCACATCCGAGAAAAAAAGTGCTAACACATCGACATAACAATCGCTTATGCGACAGTTCTCTAAAAAATATGTAAACAAATTATTATCTGATAGTAGACAATACACAAAACGAATGAATCAAACAAAATAAACTCTTTTTAAAAACTTATTGGATTGAAATTTCAAATTTGTTACAATTTTTCAGATTATTCCCATTTCTCTCCCGATTTACCATTTATAATTCCTTATTTTTAAATTCGTTTCCACGTTTTCCCATTCCCATTTTTCTTATTTATAAAAAATAAAACAAAATAATATAAAATTATGAACATGTTTGTAATAATTTCTAATATTAAGAATACAAACGTTTTAAAAAATAGTGAAATAAAATTTTAATTGAATAATACAATTGTAAAATTTGTTTTAAAAAAATGTTTGAACATAAAACATTTTCATATTTCATCGTAACAAGCACGTTCTTTATTTTTGACGCTCATAGCATAATAAAATGATCATCGTTGATTGGGATGTTTTTCAGCAAGTCTTGAATTGAGGTTTGCAGTGATTGTTGCAGACGATCAAGCGTTGTTTTATAGTTTATATGACCATGCAACGCTAAATAAATGATGGTAATTCTGCTAAATTAAGTCCAACAAAACACGTGATAATTCGACGAAACATAACCGTATTCGACGCAAAAAATAGCCTTTGAAAAAATTCGAGAATTATAAAAATTATTTTAAAAATAGCTGAAAATATTATTATAAAATTAACGAACGCCTACGTGTAAATAAAGCCGCTCCAAAATATCAAAAAATTGAAGAGCCATGATATGATCGTAACTGTTTTTGTTTTGAAGTTTTAATAAACGAAGACCTAACATGCTATTAACTTGATACTGTAACTATGACCACGCCTAACGTTCAATAGAATATGCTGGTAGCAGGTTTTGTAATTCATTCAAAAATGTGATTCAACTGTTATCAACTACACACCTTGTTTGAGGAATATTTGAAAAAACTGTAATCATAACAAACTTTGAAATTGCGTAAATTGTTTTTTCCAGAATTTTATTCGAAAAGAAACAGGAGATCATATATACGAAAGCATGTGCTGACTACCTTAACTAGTTGTGCAACAATATGAGATACAAATATAAACATTTTTAGTATATCGATAAATATAAATACACCCAACAAATAAATCCATTTTTATAACTTAAAGTAAGGAGGTTAGATATTCAATCAGATGTAAAACAATTAAATAAAACACGACAAAATTAAACAAAGAAAGCATCATACCTACATTGATCTGCATAAGTTTTCTATATATTTTTTAAATTCATTATATCCGGAAAATTTTTTATCACCTAGTTCCAAGGAATTCCAAAGACGAATTCCTCTTACCGCCCAGTATCTAGCATTTAAATCAGTTCTGCAAGTCATTGGTATCAACAAACCTTTTTGCCTAGTGTTTGTTTACACAGTTTCAAATGAGCCTAACATTTGAAACTCAGCATCATATAACACTCTATAAACGAAACACAAGGTTAGATACCTATTAAGCTGTTCAATACTGAGGATACTATTATCGGAATATATTGCCAGTGTATGATCAAGGTGTTTCAGATAAAAACAAACCCTAAGGTATCTTTTTTGTACTATTGTCAATGATTTTATTAAATAAATGTTAACGACGAATCATTACATTTGAATAGATGTGTTTCGTCAATTTTTGGTCTTAATACTTTATTTATTTCAGACCATTTTTCTTTAGACGTTTTACATTTTTTAAACTTATTGTCATAATATTCTTTTTCTTTAACTCTCTTTAGGGTTACATATATAAAACCTATATAAAGCATTCTTGCGCAAACTGTAGTTATACAAGTTAATATCCATCAAAGGTTTTCTAAAGCGGTCCTTTTTGGTGACTATTGGACATGCAGTATTAATACAATCCAAATAGGTTAGAAAAAAGTTTTCATAATCAGTCTCTAAGCTGGTATCATCAGTCAAAACAGGCAAAGAAACATCACCAAAAAGTTTATTTGCTAATCTCACATTTTCGTCCTTCATTACACGGGTTCTTACTGGTTGGCGCATGCTCACAACAGATTGTCCACCCCATTTCAGTGAAACAAAAATCGGCATATGATCTGAAAAGTCTTCACATATGATGCCTTTCAATAGGTAATGACGGTCATTGGTGAAGATATTATCAATGATAGACATAGCAGGGTAAAGTATACGAGTTGGTTTATTTATAATAGGATGTAAGTCAAATCCACTTAGGAGATCCAGGAAAGATCGAGACGTATTATTATCAATTGCCAGGATAATATTGAAGTCACCCAGAATATATACATTAGAACCATTATCTATCTTTAGATGACCACTCAGAAACTCATATAAAGCTTCGAAGAAATCAGTTTTTTTATTGTTGGACATTTATAAATACTAATAAAGTATTGATTACTGTTATTATAACTAGTTTTAATACATGACCATTCAAAGTGATTAGTATTAAAAGATCGATCGTTATTTAAATTTAGGAAAATTATATCACTATTAAATATAATAAAATTCCTGTTCCACCTCCTTTCTTGGTGGTTCTATTATTGATTACCAAGGTATGATGTGGCAAGTGTGCATGAAGCAAATCGTGATTTGCATTATCATTCAACCAGGTCTCACTTAAAGCAATGACACAAAAATAAGACCCAATACTATTCACTAATTGAGTTATTTCTTCAAGATGAGCATTTAGACTACGGCAGTTAATATGCATTACAATTAATTGATATTTACCAATGCTTAACAAATTTTTATACACATCAGCGATGGTGAAATACTTAGACATTGAATTAAATTTATAAATATAGGACATATTATCATCAAAATTAAATGATCGAAACAAATTGATATTATAGTTGTTATACCAATTCATATTACAGACACCTAAGTGATTGATAGAATTTACATTATCGTTCATATTATGATACATAACATTTAGATCTTCATTCATATTATCAATATTAATATTTGGAGACATAGTATTCATATCCACAAATATACCATTATTCTTGTTACAATTAATATTACTCACCATGACATCAACCGTATTATCGAACTTATCACCATTTATTATATGGTTTATATTATTATATTTAACATCATTTAAAACAGCTTTTATGTCATCATTCATATTAAGGTTGATATCATCATTCTCATCAGGGTCCATGTCATCATTCATAATAGTAATCATGTCATCATTTACATTTCAGTTAATATTATCATTCGCATCCATATTCATGTCATAATTCACATTAATAATATCACTCACAACACCATTCATGTCGTTCTTCACATTAACAACATTATTAATAACGGCATACATGACCTCATTCATATTAGCAATATTATTAATATTATTCACCACTTCATTCCCACTAAAGTTAATATCATCAACCACATCAGCCTCCATGACATCACTCATAATAATAACATCATTCATAACAGCATTCATGACTTCATTCACACTGTAGTTAATATCATCATTCACCTCAGCATTGATCTCATCTCTCACATTAATAACATTACTAACATCATTCATGACTTCATTCACATCATAGTTAATATCATCATTCACATCAACATTTATGACATCATTTACATTAATAACATAATTAATAACAACATTTATGTTTTCATTTACATTATAGATTACATCATTCACATCAGCTTCCATATCATTCCTACCAATAACATCATTAGTAATAGCATTCAAGACTTCATTCACATTAAGGTTAATATCATCATTCACATGAGTCTCCATATCATCATTCATACTAATATCATTAATAACAGCATTCATGAATTTATTTACACTAAAATTAACATCATCATCCACATCTACTTTTTTATCATCATTCACTTTAATAACATTATTATGTTCAGCATTCATGAATTCATTTACATTAAGGTTAATATCATCATTCACATCTGCTTTTTTGTCATATTCATATTAATAAAAACATTATGAACAGCATTCATGTATTCATTTACACCATAGTTTATATCAACATTCACATCATTATTGGTAGCAGGAAACAGTCATAAATCACCATTTTTAGTCTCGTTATCAATTGCTCGCTTATTTTGTTTAAAAACCCATTCACGTACCAGAATATCTTTCGGCATTATATCAGGGTCAGTCATCTTATTACTGTTAATTGCCTCAACACAGACTCTGAAGCAAGGGCATCACCATCATCCTTGTTAGAGGCTTCATCCACAGATTTGTCCTTGCCAACCAAAACAGAATAGCAAGTTATCACCTTTATTCCGTTTGTTGATAGGAAATCCATGATATCACTTCTATTACAGGCCTTGAGGTTGCTCATCAAGAACACCTTTTTTTGACAAGGTTTTTATTGGTCTGCAATCTGCAGCTTTCATTAATCTTATTACCAATTATTTTTAATGGCGATTTCTTTCTGGATTTAAATTTTTTTGGTTTATCTGAAGGGCTCCGGCACAGACAAATCATTTTTTAAACAGCTCAGTGTGCTAATTATCTTAACGGGAGATTTGACAATTTCTGCCTATCTTGAAGGTTCTGAGCTGACCTTGCCAAACGAATGTTTTTTTTCCTCATCGTGACATTCATGGACTGATCATCTATGCCATCCACAGGAAGGTTAGGGAATTCATGTAACGGCTGTGATCCTGACACTGACATAGCATTGTCCTTGTTCACTTCCTTGCCTTTTTTAGCCAATGCTGTTGTTTGGATGACAGAAGAAATTTGGTTAAGATCTTCAGAAAACCTTTTAATACCAGATGTCAGCATATCAATCACAGTATTTGACCATTTGGTTTCACTTAAAGAATCATTATCATTATCAAGTCAACCATTCCAAGTGTTGTACGCCTGTCCGGCTGCTTGGAGTAATTCACCTACTCCCTCTGTTGAAGACATTTAGTTTGTACTATTCCAATTTCGCAATACTCAAAGCAAAAGTTCAACAAATTCACTAAACCAAAAAGGTGAGAACGACACAATTCAAACTCGGCAACGTAAAATAATTTTCGGCGACTTAAAATGAATAAATATGTAATTAAATGATGTAAAGAAATGTAAAAATGTAAAGAACAATTTAAAAAGATTAAGAAACAATCGAATTTAGAATAACGAAGTCGGATTAATCGAGAGTTTTTGAGAATTAAATTTATTCAGCTGCTTCCATTTCTTCTTCGGTCGATGGAGCGAGATATTTTGAATCCAGTAAGGAAGCAACCGACAACTCTTCAAACGCATCTCCATTCAGTAATTCTTTTGAATCGTTTGACTATCAAAAAATGATTTCCATGATAAATTGTTCACAGTAAATTGACAATAGATTGAAATGCAAAGCTGAATAAGGCAAATAATTGATCAGGATAAAATATGGAAACTAAATTTATTAACGGTTAATACAATCGTTTTTAATTACATATTTATTTATTTATTGGCGACATTTTGACATGTTCGAAATAGAATCAATTAGTTTAACATTTTTGTTTGTTACACGTACTTCCCTGTTGTTTCACTCAATTCTTATTCGTTCCAAATAATTTTTTCAACAAAGTGTTTTCGGGCGCTTTTGTAATCAAAATTTTCTTTTTCTGCTTAAAACGTGATCTCGAAATTTAAAACGATCACAGCACCATAAACTTTGAAATGAAGTCCAAAAAGTTAATCGAGAATGATTTCTTAAACACGTTTTGATTAATTTTATGTTTTCTAAAGCTAGCATTAGTGTAATTTAATAACACAAGCACATTCATAACAAAAAAGAATACGGAAAGTCAAAAAAATAGATAATCAAAAAACTGGTTATTTTTTAACCAATGAAAATTGTTTAAAAAAATTCAGGCATTGATTAAAATTCTAGTGAAAGATAAAAAGCATAATAAAGAGAACCAAAAAAGACAGCTGAATTACTGGTTTACATTTTCCCGCAAATAATGTATAAAAACAACTGAAAACACACACATACGCATTCACGCACGTACACATCGTACCAATTGTACAGATCCTGTCGGCCTGAGTTATCGTGTCAAGTGAATGATATGGTATCTGGCGCAGTAAACGAAGTAGGAAATTGGATGCTATCAAACAAGTTGAAACTAAACGTTGACAAAACACAATATATGTGGATGGGAAAATCGCATGGTCTCAGTTTTGTAGATGAATTAAAATCTCCAGTAACAAATCTTGAAGTTATACTGGATTCTGACCTATCAATGAAGGATCACGTAAATAAACTTTGCCGTCGATGATTCAGCTTCATAAAATCAGGTCAATCAGACAATATCTGAATTAGAGGTCTACGCGGGAACACATTTCTGTGGTAAACAAGTATGAAACCACGCTTCCTGTTGTTTACATAGAATAATATTGAAAACTTTAAATTTGGCTCCGCCTTTCATTAATATTCATGACCAGCCGAAGCGCTTTATTTTTTTTTCAATTTGTAATTTTTTTAACCGAATCGTTTCATTTTTTTATATTTGTAATTTTTATAAAATTCTAATATCATTATTTATTTATTATTTTTAAAATATGTTATAAACATGAGAACTATTTGTAATTTAATTTGGACATTATATTTTCATATAAATAACGGAACAGAAGTATCGTCTAATAATTATCGTTAGTTGATAAAAAAATTCAAAAAAGTTTCAAAATTTTAAACTGCATAATAATGTCGTATAAGTTCCAAGGCTTTTTGGAATCGCTTTTTTCTTTCTCCTATGGTGCGCATCCACATAAATTCGTCAAGATATGATTGTACGTGAGCATCGCACGTACCATTCATTCTCTTAAATTTTTGTTTGGCGCATCGCCACAAATTCTCCACTCCATTTGTATGCACTCCGTTTACAGCACGGAATGTAATGGAGTGATTTACTGTTTGGTGGGCTAGACCGGTTACGGCTGTTATAAGCAGCCCATTGATCCGTCCAAACTGTTGTACCTAAAATTATTAAAATCGAACTATATTTCATAACCAACAAAAATGAATTTAAAAATATTAAACTTTATAAAACCAACCAGGCAGAACATGTCGCTGTATCAATGGCAACAGCGTGGCAGCATCTCGTTTATTCACTTCCACCAGAAAGGCATCTTTTGTTTGCGTATCGATGCCTCCAAAAACCCAGCGTGTCCTAACTGGACGTGCGTTTCCGTTCCTCGATCTTTTTGCAGATGAAATGCAGCTTTCATCTATCTGAAAGATGTGTCCGGGGCCACCTATTCGTGCAGGGTTATCACGAGCCCAGTCAATGCATAGATCTCGATGCAAATTGAACCAGTCAGGTAATGTATGCCCGAGGTCCAAATCTAAAATCGACGCAACCGTAGCCTGGCTAACGTCGTACATAGACCAGAAATACGTCATCTGATTGAATTTAAAACAACTCGCATCATCATTCTTAAAGAAATTACATTTTTCTATAAACAATGGAAAAAAATCTTACCAAAATACAATTTGTTAAGGATAATTGGCTATGGCTGTAGAAACTTCCATGCCTAATTGTTTTTGTAGCGCGGCACCTGGAGTTTCTACACCTCCACAAGTAACCATTTGCCGTTAATGCACTTTCTGCAAACCTTGTTTTATTATTTTTGAAAAAAAATCAAAATCTGACATACGAGAAAACTGTACAGCATGCAAGGCAGTAGTATGAAATGATAACAAAAAGCAGTTAACGGAGAAAAAACGTTTTAAGCATGAAAAGTATGCAAACCTCATGTCTGCAAGACAGCGGCATGTCATCGTGGCTGCTATCAAACCATGCTGTTTGGCCCACCTCACAGCATCTTCTTTCTTTAAAATATAACCTATCAGTTCTAAAAATTTCTTCCCTTCAACTGAGGGGTATGCAGCCATTTTTAGCATAAATAAGCGATAAATTTTTATTAATGAAAAATATAAATGAATGCAATTGAAGAATAGAAGAGAAAATAGCAAAAGGAAAAGGAAAGAATATTATATATTAAAGTTCATGTAAAAGATTACACAACTTAATTATTACATTTAAATTTAATTTAAATTTTTTTTATATTTTATTTTAATATATTTTATTTATATTTTAATATATGACCTTATTTTATTTGACATCTAAATTATTAATAAACATTTTAAAATATAAGATAATATATTTGTTAAATAATTTACTATAAAATTACAATAAAATGAAGCGCATCGGTTGGTCATGAATATTAACGACGGGCGGAGCCAAATTTAAAGTTTTCAATATTATTCTATGTAAACAACAGGAAGCGTGGTTTCATACTTGTTTACCCATTTCTGTTCCCTCACCTACCCTTCCTGAAAATGAATTTTACCTCACCTGCACTCATTCCCTCACAAGTCTTCCCTCACTCGCACCCATTCCCTCACCCGCACTCATTCCCTCACAAATCCTCATTTTCCCGCACTCATTCCCTCAATCAATCTTCGTTTTGCGTCCAGAGACCCGGTTTCACGAGGTAGGACGTTAATAATTAATTCTAATTCCCTCAATAATTATATCATTATTAACAAAGTATCCTTAGTCAGAGTATAATGTAGTACATTCCATGTACAATTTTTATTATAAATTAAAAACAAACAAAAATACTGGTTAATAACAGTTAGTGTTTCAGTAAATTGTTTATAAATTTTATACCACTCCTTGACTGTTGAGAAAAAGCAAAATGAAAATAGAACTCGCTGATCACGTATTTATCTGTGTAAACAGCTGATAAAGACAGATTCTGTATTCAAGCTGCATACTTAATGTTGTGTTTTGCTGTTTTGAAGAGTTGAAACACAAACTAAATAGAAAACAATAAGCGTAATGTACGTATACTAATTTATTACGTAAAATAAATATGACGTTCTATAACCAAACGAATTGAACAAATTAAAAAGCATGTCACAGTAAAAGTCACATTGTACATTAATTATCGCCAAAAAACAAATAGATTAAATAGTAATGTGCCCTGCACATAACACTGTCCTTTCGTGTTATCACAATGAATATTATTTAGCGTAATGCATATGCATCTGTGAGTTTGCTTAGCTTTAAACTTAGTAATAATAATCTAACTTTTTCAATTGCGTCGCTGTTCAAGCTATGAAGTTTCTCATCAATTTTCAACATTTTTGAAATTTCGCCATCAAAGTCAAGTCAACTAAAATTTTTCCCGTCCCGCGGTACTTTCCGCACGAAAAATATCCGCCTGGCATACGTATAACATGCCCTATCCAAAAAAAAATGAGTTTGAAGCAAAATCGATTTTATACACTTTGTACCGCACTTTGCTAAAACCATTGTTTCGGACTGTCTTCTACCTGATACCACAATCATACGCAGACACCTCTTATTAAACTGGTCGAGCCTACGAAACAACAACAAAATCGAGACGCAAATCGTCCGCCATCACATGGGCCATTGCCCCCAACAAAACTGGGTTGCTCAGATACAAGATCCTTGAAACTGACCGTAAGTCAAAATCTCTTAGCTGCTATATGGAACCGTTTGAGCAGCGTCTGAACCTCGGCCTGCGTTTGTGCAACCAGCGCACATTCATCAGCAAATAACAGGTCGCCAACAATAAAAATCTTTGTCCTTGACTTCGCTTGCAATCGTCTGATATTAATGCTATTCCCATCCATACAATAGCAGATTGGTATCCCCTTACTACTATGACGAAAAGCAACTCGGAGCCTCAATGAAAAGTAGATGTTGAACAGCAATCAAGCCATCCTTTCTTGGTTCCGTTTGCAATATCAAAATCTTGAGACCGTTCACCATTTTCAATCACACTCGCTTTCATACCTTCGTGGAAGGAACAAACAATGGCAACCAAAACCGAGGGGCAATCAATTTTTGACAAGTAGAGCCAAAGTGTTGACTTATCAACTGAATGAAAAGCCTTGGTCAGGTCAACAAAAACCAAGTACAATCATCGTTGTTGGCTCACATTTTTCTTGCAGTTGTCTTGCAGTAAATACCATATCAGTTGCGCTCCTGGCTCTAAATTCACATTGATTTTTTGGAAAGATTTCTAGATTGTTGACATGTTTTTTCAGACGGTTAGCAATCAGTCTGGCTAGTATCTTTTTAGGTGTGGAGGAAAGGGAGATTTCTCCGTGGTCGTCACAGTTTGATCGATCACCTTTTCTTCTAAACATATAAACGATCTGAAAATCTTTGTATTCTTGAGGAACCGACCGCTCCACTCAAAAAGCTTCACCAACTTCTTCCTGAGATACAGACCACCGTGTTTAAACAACTCTGCAGGCAAATCATGCAAACCGGGCGCTATTCAAGATAACCGAGATATTGCTCTATCTACTTCCTGCAAACTAGGGGGAAACTCAAGATCATAATTAGGTTTCCAATACAGCAGGTCAGACAGGACCGCGTCATCAAAGAAAGTCTTTTGATTTAGCACTCCTCAAAAATGCTTTGCCCAGCGGGCCAATATGCCAGGGGCATCTTTTATCAACGACAAATTATCCCGTGAACGTACTAGTATACTGCCCGAGTTATGTAGACACTATCTTAAGGCCTTTATAAAACAGTTTCAAATCACCACAGTTAGTGGCTACCTGTAATTCATCAGCCCTCGTCGCCCGCTAAGACTTCTTCATTTTGCGCAGTTCCCTCTGCGAGATAATTCCTGCATTTGAGTAGGCTACTTTCTTTGCTTCATTACTTTTGTTGTTTTTCAAAGCAAGATAGGTTTTGCGCACAACATCCAACAATCTACAAGCCTCCATATCTCGTTCATCAAATCAGTCCCTATGCCCAAGCACGTTTCTTGCGATCATTTGTATGACCCTTTAGAAATGTGGCCAATCAAGGTCAGGATCTTCAGCCATTTTGGTGTATAATGCGCGACTGAATGATTTCTGAGTTGACTTGTCCTCCAGTTTAGCCACATCCAACTTGACGGATTTTACCATCTTATGATGCCTCTTGACTGGTTTGATTGTCTAGAATATTGACATTTTGACAAGACGATGATCAGACCACACAGTTGTCGCTTGAATCACTCTGGTGAGACGAACGTTGCGTAGGTCCCTTTGTTTTGTGAAGACGCAACCGATCAGGTGTCGGTGTCCCGATCGTGGGTGTATCCATGTAGTCTTCAGCGTGTTTGTCACAACTAGTTTTTGTACTGGACAGAACTCAAGAAGCCTGATTTCATTTGAGATTTTCATAAACCGTGCATTGAAGTCGCCCAGCACAAACAATTGGCGTTCAAAAGGCGTCGCGTTTACAATTACGTTGACCTGTTCATAGAAACTATCTTTTTCTTCCTCCGATGTGATGGCGCATAGCCGCTGAATAACGTAGCAGTGTATCCTCCCTCAAAACTTCATCTTCATTAGACGTGGCGATATGCTATGGGGAGTCTCACACAGACTTGATAAGTGTGCTACGTATTGCGAATCCAACTCCACACGTTCGAACTTCTCCTGCCGGGTGTCCCTGACAAAAAAAGGTGTGTCCGGCACTTTTTACTTCAAATTGTGTAGCATTGGATAATCTCACCCAGTTTCACTTAGTGCAGCGATATCTATTTCAAAACAAGCAGGCTAACGCGCTGCGAACGTTCCATGCCACAAGGTTCAGTACTTTCCTTTTGGATTTATAAATATTTATGCCGCAGAGAATGGATATCCAGTCAGTAGCGGTCAGCCAACGAAACAATTTTATTGGGCTAGCTTTTTTAGGACACATTTTCTAGTCCTCTTTCCAGTTGACAAAAGCAGTGCCTCCTTAAATAGAGCTGCTTTGTTGCCAAGGCAGGACCAAACGTCACTGTAGCCCTCAGTAACGAGCGATCATTACACAAAGGCCGTCTACGTGCTGGCTAGTGGCAGGACTTTTACGCTCACAGCATCCACCGGAGACAATCTGCACAATTGAATTAGTTTACGGTTGGAAAAGTCTCTTGAGAACT